GGCTCGGCCGACTCTCTAGGTCTGGCGTGAGGGGCTGTACGGGTTGATTTTTTTCAATTTTTTTTTTCTGGTTTTGCTGAGAATGGTTGAATTTCGGAGCCAAATGGGATGTGTGGAGGCGGTCTCCATACCCCGTGGTGTGTCATTAAACTCGGGCATGGTTTTGCTGCTTTTCAGGCAGGTGGTTTCCACGTCTCAGAATAGCCGAGTTCATCTGGGTTTGTTTTCTTTTTGGCAAAATCTGGTAGGAAAACAGCAGTTGTGCCCCCTTTTCTGGTAAAGGAAGGAAACTGATCCTAATTTGCTGCGGATATTTTTTTTTTTGCATGTGCTTTTTATGCAAGGAGTGAGCAGAGCTGTGGATTTCTTGGTATTTACTGCAGGATTGTAGGTTTAGCAGCAGTTGTACATCACAAGGAGCCAGCCTGAGCAACTGAAATGGGGAAGGGATTTTTATGCAGTTAAAAATTAGTATTCTGTGACTGTCTGATGTATGCTACAGAGATAAGTTCTCCTTGTTAAAGAAAAACCCAACTGTCTATTTAGTTGATAAAATGCGAGGACAAGAACACTGTTTTCTCATATTCCTATTATTTCTAATGTCATGGAAAAATAATCCAAAGTGGAAAAATAACACTTGTGTTATTGTATTTTATTTTTTTTTTTAACAACCAAGTGTTGAGGACGTTTTTATCTATCCCAGAGGGCATACGTGAAAAGAAAAGGATTTTCATGTTCATTCCAGCTCATTTTGAAGGGATCTGGTTTCTCATTTGGCTGGCTTTCAGACGCAGGGATAGCGGCTGGCGGGGAGCTGGCGAGTGAGCTCAGGCGGGGAGAGGCAGGGCTCCTGCTAGCGGTGGAAATCTTCCAGCAACCTTGATGATCCTACTTAAGCCCTCAATTTCGAGAGAAATGAAATATCTTCTCCAGACCCACTTTTTGCAGTTAAATATATATATATTTATAGGTACATGTGCTCATATATGTGTGTGTATATGTATGTGTGTGGTATACGTGCATTTGTGTAGTGACTCTTGCTCACCAGCACTAACTGGATGAGATGCTGTTAAATTAATTGCCTCTGAGCTGTTGACAGACTCTTGGGAAGTGCTGTAGAAAGGGGGAAGTGCCACTCTCAGAGCATCTACCCCCAAAATACCTGCTGTGTATATACACCGTAAGGGAAAACCCCAGCCCACTGCTCTCTGCGGGTGTCAGCTGAGGCAGGCAGCAGGGCTGATTTCTTTGCCAGATTTAGATTTTGGCTGTGGGCAGCTCTTCCTGCCTGTGCTGAGCTGGGCTTCCCTAGCCTGAGCTGTAGAGAAGGAAATCAAAGGCACGGAGAGTTTCGAGGCAGAGCGTTTAACTTGTCTCCCACACTACCTACACTTTCCCCCCTTACGCATTCCAAATCCATTACTTTCAAATTATTACTTCCCTCCCCGCCTTTGCATTTTTGCCTCCTGCCCCTTCTCCTCCCTGTGTCCTCCTTGCCTCCCGCCATGGCGCAGGCTGATCTCTGGTATTCCCCTTCCATGCTGATCTCTGATTCTGACTACGCTAACGGATTTTGTTATGGAGGAAGAGATGGTGGGCGGGAGGGGAATCCCACAGCTCTGGGGTTGGGATTTTCAAAGGAACTGAGCTTTTAATTCCTCCTGAAAGCTGCGGGGAAGGGGTGCATGGCATCCTTTTCAGATCTCTGCCAACACCCTGCTCTTCCCTCCCTCGCCTTGAGTGGGTCCTCTTTGCTGTACCCTGTACTGCTGTGTCCTTCAAGGGTGGTGGCAGGCAGGGTGATACCGGCTATATGGCTGCAAGGACACGTGTGTGTCCTTGGCCAACATCTTCTGGCTCAGCTCATGGGTGGCTCAGTGCTACTTAGGTGAGCACAGAGCGGCAGGAGAGTTACCGGTTTGGGGTGGAAATGTGGCTGATAAACAACTCGATGAGATCTGTAATGGGCTCCCTCTTTTCTGCGTGCTAGATTCTAGCTCAGAGGAGGAGGAAGAGGAGGAGGAAGAGGAAGAGGAGGAAGCAGAGGACTATGGGACGGACGGCACCGACAGGCTTTCGTCACCTGCCCTTGACGAGAGCGGCCTGGGCCTTCTAGCAAGGTTTGCTGCCAGCGCGATGCCCAGCCCCATCGTTCCCCCTCCGCTTTCCATCATCCAGCTGGAGGCCAAGCAGAAGGCGAAGAAGAAGGAGGAGCGTCAGAGCCTGATGGGTGAGTTTCATGGTTAGGGTTGGTGCCATGGGGGGCGAGGTGGAAGGTCCAGGAGGTCCCAGCTGTGCTGCAAGAGAGCAGGATGTTACCCAGGCACTGTCTTGCCCTTGCTTTGCTTGTGGGTGCTTGGTCCTGATGCTGAGGGCAGGGGGAATCGTCTGGCAAGAAGACGAGAGCCGGTCACGGGTATGGTGGGTTTAGCAGCTGCAGCCATGGCTTCCCCAGGGGCACTTGCCTGTGGCTTTCTCAAAGTTTCCTCTTTTCCTACTTGGCGAATCCTTAGCAGTCATGCTACAAAGGCAAGCCATGGGATACTGCGTCCCCTTGGACAGGGTGCTGAAGGCAGTGAAGTGCTGTCACATTTTAGGGAAGGAAGCATGTGCTAGATACCCAAGAGAAGCAGCGACACCCAAGCAGAGGACAACACCCTTCCATCAGCCCATCCCATTGGCTTCCTCACAGAAACCACCCAGTGAGACCTGAAACAAGCATTCCTTCCTCTGCTTGTTTTTGCAGTGCCAGACCCTGTGTTTCTGTCCCCGTCTCCGTCTCAGTTTCAGTGCATTGCCCATAATTGGGAGTTTAATTTGTTCCCCTCCCCGTGCCCGGCTGCACAAGGGCCCATTGGTGACATTGTTCCCGGTCAGACAGATCTATATGGGCTTCATTTATAAATTCTCTATTAATATTTATTAAGTGATAATGGAATTTATAGCGTGCTTCAGAATGGAAAATGATGTCTTCCTTGGGAGCTTGGATTGTTTTAGCACTGTTTCCATGCTATATTAGGCTTTTGCCAACTTGTTCCAATAGCCTCCGTTAAGAATTTATCGCCTTGTAACCTGCCCTCCTTGAAACTGGAAGCAGCTAGAAATTGCCTCATGCAGCAGTGAGAGTGGAGAAGGAGCGTTGTCGTTTCCAGTGGGTTTTGCGTTCTGAGCCTTTCCAGCTTTGATTTTGACATTTTCCCTGCTCGTGCTGGGGCTGTCTCAGGGGGAAGAGGTTTGGGTAGAAGATGAGAGCAGGTTCCTTCAGACTGCGTTTACTCAGGAAAGCGAGCGTATTTGAGAGAGAAGAACTGAGAGAAGATGCTTTCCATGCTCGTGCCTTCTATGTTTTCATTTTCCCACGTGAATGTTGTTCGGTCCCTCGTGTCCTTTCTCAAGGGTCTCCTGCACACAGTGGTTGTCACAGCAGGGGCCGTTCACTGTTGGGCTTGAGAAGAGTTTCTGCCAACCTCCATGGCCAGAAGCGAGGCCTGATTTCAGACCTTGCTGGTTTGAAGGCAGAGTCATGCGGGTGTGTATGCAGAGAGGGCAGATCCACACCAGGTTGGAGGAGGATACAAGAAAGCGCTTCGACTGATGCTCTTTCTTTGGACAGGGAGAGCCAGGTTCTGTTGATGTTTGTGCCACCCCATGAGGTCCAGTGCCCTGGGAAATCAATGAATTTAGAAAGTCTGGGCTCAGTCCCTTGTTCCAACGTAGAGTTACTGCATGACCTTGGGCAATTTTCTTCCAGTCTGGCTGTATCCCTTTAATGGCACGGCGCCTGTGCAGCCGTAGTGCCTTGCCTGTGTTGCTGGGTGTCTCAGTGCTGCCTCAGTTTCCCTTCTGCCCCTGGAAATGTGTAGTCTTACTCTCCTTTGTCAGGTTCTGGGGAACACACAGAAGGTGGTGAACATCTTGGCATGACTACCGTATTTCAGGCCTCTGGGTACTGCTGTGCCCGTGATGCTGAGCAAGGGCCAATGTGAGGGGATTTCCATTTGCCACAGACAAAGATCGTTTACCTCTCTTGACTTTAAGGTGATTACCTAAACCAATGAAAAGATCTGTGGTGTCTCTTGGCCAATGGGAAAAAATAAGCTTGAAATATGGGTTTATTCAGTTCGGTAAAGAGATTGTTCTTCTGAAACGAAAGTGAGACTGGAGAGGACTCTCACTGGGAGGAAGGCTCAGCTTGTGGGGTTTGTGCTTTGCTTCAGCTGAGCAACAACTTCTTGTGGAGGGGCAAATGTTAAGAGTATCTTTTCTCTTAAGAGCTTCCCTGGAGGGTTTTGGCTGTGGGAGAAGGGAGGAAATGGAGGCAGGGAACATACTGAATCACACTGACTGAATGGGTGGGCTCTGGTTTGGGGCAGAGGAGGCTTATTTTCAGGGAAATCAGTGTTTTATGGGGCGGAAATGCAGATCTGAGGGATGTGGGGATTGGAAAGGCGGACAAGTAAGGGGTCTGTTGAACAGGCATCTCCCATGGAGCCCAAAAGCCTCCAGTGGGATGTGGCCCCTCGTGGCTCAGCCAGGGCTTTGACTGATGGTTAAATCCTTTGCACCTAGGGACAGAGTTTGAATACACTGACTCGGAGAGTGAGATCAAGATCAGGAAGAAGTCTCCTTCAGCGCTGCTGCGGGGAAAGAAGGGGCCGCTGGAGGCTAGCAGCATCCCGCCAAGCCAGGCCCCCAGCAGCCTTGACTCCGGATCTGGAAGCACTGACAAGGCCAAGCTTGGGTCTGAGAAAGGCCGCAAGCTGAAGAAATTCAAGTCCCCCAAGGACCTGAGCTTTGAGTTTGGGCTGGAGGCCAGCGATGATGACCTGTGGAACCGGCGCCGGAGCGAGCGGATCTTCCTCCACGACGCCACCACGTCCTCGGCCATGCTGACCCCCGCGGCGCCTGCCAGCTCCACTCCTGTCTCCAAGCCTGGGCGCTGTGGCAAGGGGGCACCCATGAGCCCCAAAAAGGAGGGCAGTAAGGGGAAGGAGAGGAAGGAGCTAAGCAAGGTGAGGAATGCACTGGTAGAATTGGTGTGGGACCCTTGGGAGCTGAGGGTGAGGGGAGGGCGATTAACTCCACCAGGGCAGAGGGGAGTTGAGTCCTATCTTGGCAGTTGCTCCGATGCTGTTTGGATGCCCTGTGTCACCCCTGCCTGCCCCATGTACGCCCGGAGGAGCTTCCAGGCTTGGATCTGACTCACAAGGAGTAAAAGCCTATTGTGTTTGACCAGGGCAGGTTACTTGTGTCACCCTCCCTGTCCCAAATCCATCCTGTTTGGATTGGCCAGAGAGGACAATCCTGCCTTAAAACATCTGTGAAATCTCTCTCCCGCTCCCTGTACAACCTTACCCTCTTGCTGAGCTATGTCCCCTACACCAGCCTTTAAGGCTGTTCACCTTTTATATGGTGTCTTCTCAGGGCTGTCCCTGGCTGGTGGTGGCAGTGATCTCTGGCTTGCTGGCTCTTCATCTTGGTGAAAGTTCAGCTCCCTCCAGCTTAGGTTCAGTTCATGGCAGTGTTATGGAGGAGCATTGATTGTGGGGTGAATTAGACAAGTTAGTTGTGACTGAGGCCAGCTGGGGTCTTCTTGGAGCCATTTGGGGGAAGATTTGATGGGCAGGAGTTGCTCTCTAGGGTAGTGAAAAGCTCTTCCCAAAATGTGTGAAACCTGAAAGCAGAGCTGGGAGATAGAGGACGTGGTGCGGTCAGTGAACTAACCGCTGGCTGAGCATCACGCTAACTGTGCACAGCCTGCTTTGCTCCACCTTTCCCCTCTCCCTGGGCCCAGATCTTTACCAATCTTCTCTTTACTGATGGGAGTGTTTTCTTTTTATTTTTAGCAGCGGAAGAAGGGTAAGGAAACACCCTGCTGCTCCTCCTCCTCGTCCATGTCTCCTCCTGGCATCCCCAGCTCCCCATCTGATGTTCGTGTCAGCCTGGCGAATGCCCTGAGCTCCACCAAGAAGAGCAAAACCAAGGTGAAAGCCAAGGAGGTGAAAAAAGAGGTGAGGGGGCTTGTTCTAGTCCGGGTGAACTGGAGGGTGGCTGGCAGAGCCCTACTGTTTTACTGGGCTGTTGCAGTGCAAGGGAGGGAAGACAGACAGGCAGGTTTTGCTGGGTGTGTTACAGGCAAAATGCTGGTTTGAGCTTTCAAAGCCCAAAATCCAAGGAATACTGTCAGGTAGTACCTGCTGCTACCATCTGGTGTTCGTTTGCTTTCATCCCCCAAATGAATAAGCAGGTAGGATTTTCGATTAAGGTCACCATGGGGTGGAGGGGAGAGCCTTCATGGATAGCAAGGACCAAGGAGATGGTGATGGGAGTTGCCTTGCTCAGCACTGGATGAGCCAGGTCCCAGCTGGTTTCTGCTCCATTGCTGTAGCCTGTCTTCTCTCATAAAATACATTACTGCATCTTCTCACATGATTTCACATGGTCTGTGTGTAACAGCAAGAAACGGATCATGGGGCTTTGAGAAGAAATAGGAACAGAGCCTCCTGCCTGTTTAGTCAAGACAGGCGCTCAGGAACAATGTGCAGAGAGGTGGTGAGTGCAGAGCAACGCTACAGCTGTCTGCTCCACGGCATCTCTTCTAACCTCCAGGAGTGAGACGTGGCTAGGATGTGTGAAACACCTTTTGGTGATTTGGCTGTCAGTGATAAACCCAGGAAAACAAAGGTCTTTGTTCAATCAAAAAGCAAGTTTGGGTACACGCACTTAACTCCGTGTGATTAATGTTGCTGAGGATGAAGACAAGTTTGTCCCAGTATCCTCAGGTTATTTGTTGCTGGAGGATGGTGAAATGGGATCAGACTGTGGCCTGTTGTCATCTGTCTGACGTGCTGCTTGCTCTCCTGCAGAACCGAGGGAAAGGAGGAGCTGTCAGCAAGCTCATGGAGAGCATGGCAGCAGAGGAGGATTTTGAACCCAATCAAGACAGCAGCTTCTCAGAGGATGAGAACATCCCACTGAGCATGCTGGTGGAGCGACCGCCCACACCAGGTGAGGGCAGGAGTGGCCAGGGGGCTAATTGTACTGGTAGAGGAGCTGGGCAAGTTTCCCAGGGCTGCTCAGAGGAGGACTGTGCTGCTTTCACACATTCCTCATCCAAAGCCATGAGTCCTTGGGGTGGAGATAGCGCTTTTCCTGTCAATTTGGCTTGCCAAGAACAAAGCCTTATCTGCATGGCCCACTGTGACATCTAGATGAAGCCCAGTCTCTGAGCTGCCCTGTTTTCATTTACTGGTATATATTTATTACCAAGAGGGGGGGACTTTTTATTATTACCAAGAGGGCAAAATTTTCCTCTGCCAGGAGCTAGCCAGAGAGTGAGCCCTTTCTGCGAAGGGCTTACTGCCCTTTTCCTAGGGGAGGGCGACACTGGGAGTATGAGGTTTCCTTCTCCCTTTGCCGTCACTTTTTCATGTATGATGCTCTCTAATCCCCATCTTGCTCCGACACCCCACAGCTCCCCGCTCCTGCATAATTGACAAGGATGAGCTGAAAGACGGTCTGCGTGTCCTCATCCCCATGGATGACAAGCTGCTCTACGCTGGGCATGTCAAGACGGTGCATTCACCAGACATGTGAGTTGAGGGACTACGACGTCCACCTGCGTTCTGCCAGTGAATGGGGGTGTAGCTGATGCAGGGATCGATTTTGGGGGTTGTGCAGAGCTGGCTGGAGACAGACTGACAGAGTCTGGAAGGAGAGTTCACTCTGGTTTATCAGTGCTGAGGAAAATCCAATTACCTCTCATTAAATGCTCTCAAATAAAGCAGGGGGAGGTGTTAGGTGTTAGCTGATCAGGGTGATGTCTCCCATGTGCCCTGTCTGACTGGGCCTTTGTGTTTCAGATACCGTGTGGTGGTGGAAGGCGAGAGGGGAAACCGTCCCCACATTTACTGCCTGGAGCAGCTCTTGCAGGAAGCGGTATGTGAGGCCAAAGGGTGCCTGTCCTTGGTGCCTGAGCTCTGTTTTGGGGTGGAGGAGGCTAGCTGGAAGCTGGGGGAGCAGTCGCTGGACGTTTTCAATTTCGGAGCTGAGCTGCAGGGATGTCCTGGTCCTGCCTCCGTGGCCAGTCTGGGCAGAGCTCCCCTTGGTGTGGGTCGCTGCCCCGTGGCTGAGCTCCCCCACTGGCAGCGGGCACTAGGCCTATATGCAGGGCTAGTCCTTCACGCTGTCCTGCGAGCAGACAGGAGGCCACTTCCCAGCAGGGAAACTGTCCCTTGCCTTCTCCAGAGCTGCTTTGCTACACACCAGGTATGATGTTCTGTGCTGGTGCCAAGAACATCAGTAATTGCTTTCCCCTTGCCCCAAGCAGATCATTGATGTGAAACCACCTTCAGTGCGATTCCTGCCTGAGGGCACGAGGATTGCAGCCTACTGGAGCCAGCAGTACCGCTGCCTCTACCCAGGGACAGTTGTCCGAGGTAAGGCCACCCCTGGCTGTGCTGCGCTGTGAACCAGGGATATCTCAGTCCTACGTGTCCTGAGGGATGTGAGACTTGTCTGGGGAAACCCTGAGTGTCTTCGAGTTCAGAGCTTGGCCCATTCCTCCTCTCGTCTGGGTCATACCCAGCTCAGTCATGATGCTGGTTTAGTAACATCCTGTTGATGCAGGAGATGTGCTCTTCCTCTGTAGGAAGAGGTCTGAGCAATTTAGGAGCTTAAAATATCAGAGAAATCCGACACACTTCAAAAAGTCAGAATTAACTCCAGGCACTAAAGATTTCTGAGGTTGCGGAGGTTTCTCAATCACCTGCACACTCATAACTTTGCCTCTGACCCATCAACTTCCCCCATCTGGTCCAATTAAAAAGCCAGTGAAGAGCCCTGGATGATTCTACCGTGGCTGGTCTTGCTTTTGGGCTCTTGGTTATACTACATGTGTGTCAGGGAAGAATTACTTAGGAGTTACAGACCAGCGATGCTGATGCAAGAAGAAGGGGTGGGAGCACAGCTCATTTCCCTTGGAGAGAAGGTGAAAAGCAGAGTAGTTTCAAAATGCAGGTCAAAACCAAAAAGATACAGCAGTGAAAACAGAAGTGAATTTCTGCAAGAATAGAGGGAAATAGGGGAAAGGGGTGGGAAGTCAAACTGGAATGGCTGTTGTGTTCTGGAGCAGTGCTGCTGACTGGGGAATTTTACACTGGGTGGGCTGGTTTAGTGTCATCAGGGACTTTCCATTGCAGAGCAAGTGTTCTGTGCTCTCCCTGCACAGCCCAGGAAAGCTGGGGATGGGATGCTTTGGAGCTGGGGCAGGATCCCTGTCTTCTCCTACATGCCCACTTCCCTGACAAGGGGTTTGCACACTGAAGTTTGTACCTAATCCTGTCTTCTGCTCCCCCAACCCACAGGAGCCCTGGATCTGGAGGAAGACGGTGATCTCATCACCGTAGAGTTTGATGATGGGGACACGGGTCGTATCCCGCTGTCTCACATTCGGCTTCTCCCACCTGACTACAAGATCCAGTGTGAGTCTTGCTGTTCAGTTTTTTGCATGACGCTTCCCACTATGAAATGTAGGGAGTTTTGGGCCACCTGCCTCTCAGATTTTGGGGTGAATTCACAGACTTTCAAGCACAAAGATTGCACCAACAGTTATGGCCAGGAAGAGCTGGGGTGGGATATGACCCACAGGGAAAAAGGCCCAGTCCCTATTGCAGAATCGGTAGGGATACATTCCCTGTACCGCTGTGTTTCTGTTTTCTGTGTTATTTCACTGCATTTGATCATCTCTTTGACCTGTTCCAGGTGCTGAGCCTTCCCCGGCCCTTTTGGTGCCCAGCACCAAGCGCCGTAGCCGTAAATCCAGCAAAGACACTGGAGAATGGAAAGAGGGAGCTGCGCTGGGGTCAGAGGAGCCTGTGTCAAAGGGCAAAGGGCGAGGGAGAAAGCCAAGCATCAAGGCGAAAGCTGGTAAGTTGTCACCGCTGCCGGACCTGGAGTTGAGAGAGTCCTTGCACAGGCCCCTCCCTGCTCTCCCCAGGTTAATGCTGTTGCCTGGGGCAAGATGTGGAGGGGAATGGATGCGCTGCTTGAGCGCAGAACACCTACACATCAGCTCGCTCTGCTGGGGCGACAGTTTGCAGGAGGCTATCTCAGAAGCTGGCCTGTGCTGCAAGAACCTCCTCCTGTCAGTCGAGGCTGCAGAGCAGCGGCTCTTTTTCAGCTGAGCGTCTCAGCAGCCATCAGTAGGGCCAAAGGTGCAGGAGATCCGCAGTTTGGTTCCCCTGCGGTTGAAGCAGCATCGCTGGGCTTTGCCCATCAGCTGCTCACAGGCGCTGGCTGCTTGGTTAAGGCTGTTCAGTGAGCACTGGGGACCTGTGCCTCTTCGGGGATACCGCAGCAGTCAGGAACAAGCCACCCTTGGCCAGAGACCAGTCAGCACTGGTGTCTGGTTGTGTCTGAGCTAATAAAGCCCGTCTGGATAGATACCATCACGCCTTTGTGTTTCCTCCCCTCTGCAGAAGAAGCTGCCTTGCCAGAAGAGAAGGATCAGGTTGAATCTTCACCTGTTACCTCTTCAGTCCCGGAGAAGCCAGCCTGCTTGGGCAAGCCAAGCATGAAGGGGTCGCGAAAATCGCAACCGCTGCCGACTGGAGGCTCTCCTGTCCCGACAGAGGAAAAGCGGTCGAAAGCCGGCAAAATGAAGATCTCCACTAAGCTGCATAGCCCCCCGCAACCCACCTACCAGCCTGCTGTGTTCGGCAGCATCCTCGGCACGGAACCCTACAGCGACCTCCCGGGGACGCTGACGGCCTTCGGCTCCAGCGATGCTTCGGCCTCGAAAGCCAAGGCCAAGAAAGGGCGGCCCGCAGAAGAGACGCAGGAGTTTGGCACCATGGTCAAGGCTCAGAGGAAGCACGACAACGAGATCCTGATCAAGCTGGACCATGAGGGCGTGATGTCTCCAAAGACAAAGAAGATGAAGGAGGCCATGAGGATGCTGGAGGACTCGAACCTGGCCGGTCGCAGAGATGGCAAGAGTCTCTTGGGGCTGGGTTATTCCCCTGCGGTAGGTGCGGAGGGCAAGCAGAAATCTTCCCGAGCCAAAGCAGCTGAGGGAGACCCTTCCCCCGCCAGCTTCG